ATTTTTTGGCTTCAGGCCCTAAAAGTGCGAGTTTCACGAGACAAATGAATTTCAAATTTTAAAACCCTTGTTAACCCAGTCACAGTGTGCATTATTTTCCTTAACTAAGAAGAAAATTTTCCATGATGCTAAAAACATCTTACAGGATCATTGGACATATGATGCTAAACACATCTTACAGATATTGGCCATTGGACATATGATGCTAACACATCTTACAGATCATTGGACATATATGAAACATATCTTACAGATCATTGGACATATGATGCTAAACATATCTTACAGATCATTGGGACATATGATGCTAACCACATCTGTACAGATCATTGGGACATATGATCAATTGCTAAACACATATCTTACAGATCTTGGAACGATATGATGCTAAACATATCTTACAGATCATTGGACATATGATGCTAAACAACATATCTAAACATATCTGGGACAGATCAAACAATTGGATCATGACATGATGCTAAAAACATATCTTACAGATCATTGGACATATGATGCTAAACATATCTTACAGATCATTGGACATATGATGCTAAACATATCTTACAGATCATTGGACATATGATGATTCTAACACGATCTTACAGATCATTGGACATATGATGCTAAACACATCTTACAGATCATTGGACATATGATGCTAAACATATCTTACAGATCATTGGACATATGATGCTAAACATATCTTACAGATCATTGGACATATGATGCTAAACATATCTTACAGATCATTGGACATATGATGCTAAACATATCTTACAGATCATTGGACATATGATGCTAAACATATCTTACAGATCATTGGACATATGTGATGCTAAACAATAATCTTACAGATCATTGGACATATGATGCTAAACATATCTTACAGATGGACTAATGCTAAACATATCTTACAGATCATTGGACATATGATGCTAAACATATCTTACAGATCATTGGACATATGATGCTAAACATATCTTACAGATCATTGGATATATGATGCTAAACATATCTTACAGATCAATCAGCACTAAGTGGGTCATGTGATCAACACAGGCCGGATAAGGCGATCAACATTGTGCCGGTCCACTTGACTTCCTAAAACATTACCTAGTACCATATCAAATTTGATCGACATATGAGCCAATGTCAGTTTAAAATTAAAGAATTTACCCCGATTCAGTTTCGATTGTAAACCTTTTGGCTGGCTGCGCTACTAAACAATAAATGTGCGTGATTACTTCCCTATTTTTCATCACGATGAGATAGAAGTGTCGCACCATTTCAAACTCAGACTGACCTCCAAACTCTTATCGACAAAAGCCAGATGTTTCGCCCCACTCCGCCATCGTTAGAGAGAAAATGCTTTTTTTTTCATGGTTATCTCCCTCCCGTCAAAAATAAATCTTGCGTTTGAATCTGCAAAGTCGATTTTATCAACTGATAAGTAAACGAATCAAAGAACCACACAGGTGTGCATACATAGACACAAACAGACAAATGCAGACAGATAGCAGACAGACAGACAGATAAACGGACAGCCTACAGAGCGAACTAGTTAGGTAGACAGACAGACAGACATACATACAGACAGAAAGACAGACAGACAGATAAACAGACAGCCTACAGAGCGAACTAGTTAGGTAGTGAGATAAATGTACGGAGATATGGGGTAGAGAGATGAGAGAGAGGAGAGAGCGAGAGAGAGAGAGAGAGAGAGAGTACAGCAGACAGACGGCCAGACAGACAGACAACAGAAAGACAGACAAGACAGACAGACAGACAGACAGACAACAACAGCAAGACAGACCGACAAACGAACGACCGACCGACAGACAGACAGACAGACGACAGACAGACAGACATACAGTCAGACAGACAGACAGACAGACGACACGACAGACAGACAGACAGACGACAGACACACAGACAGACAGACAGAAGTACCTACGTACGTACAATAACAATTCCACACCCCCCCACATTACATACTCATACATACATACATAGCATACATCCATACATACATCACACATACATACATACGTTACATCATACATACGATACATACCATGCACATAAACTACAACATATACATACATACACACATACATACCTACACATTTACATTACATACATAAATACAACATACATACATACATACATACATACCCTCTAACATACATACATACATACACACATACATACATACATACATACATACATACATACATACATGACATACACATACATACATACATACATTTCATACATACACATACATACATACATACATACATAATACATGCTACATACATACATACATACATACATACATGCATACATGCATACATACATACATACATACATACATACATGCACATAACATACATACATGCATACATACATACATACTACATACATACATACATACATACCATACAATACATACATACATACATACATACATACATACATACATACATA